TAGCCTCCTCCGTCCCTCTCCTACCTGAGCTTCCCTCCAGGCTCCGTCCTCTCCCCTCCCCCCGCCCCATTAACTCTTTCCTAAGGAGTCTGCCCCTCCCTCAGGGCCCTCCCCTTGCCCCAGCTCCCTCCCCTGGCTCCCAGCCAGACGAGGAACGCGGCTACCGCCTGGGGCCCCCGACCGGTCCGGGAGGACTTCAGAGCCCGAGCTGGGGCCACTCCCACGCCCAGCCCCGGGAACCCGCGGATTCACTGGGAAGCCGAGAGCAAAGGGCAGGGGCTGTGACCTGGGTCGGCTGCAGCTGGGCTGGGGCAGCTCCCCCAGCACCTCCCCCAGACGGCCCGGGACACATACCAGCACGGAAGCGCGCGGCACGCCCCCCTCCCCCACTTTCCCCTCTCGGGCTTTCAGACTCTGGGAGGAAGGCGTCAGAGCCGGAGAAGTTGGAGGGAAAGGACCAAGTGTCTCAGAGATAAAGGTGTGGACGCGTGGGAGGGAGGGACAAGGGGCTCCGCCAGGACAAGTCACTGCTTTTCTCTACCGCACAGGCTTCGCTATGTGGGAAGGCCGGTGATCCTACTACACCTCGAGCCATATATATATATATATATATATTTTAATATATTTTATTGATTTTTTACAGAGAGGAATAGAGAGTTAGAAACATCGATGAGAGAGAAGCATCAATCAGCTACCTCCTGCACACCACCCACTGGGGATGTGCCTGAAACCAAGGTACATGCCCGTGACCGGAATCGAACCTGGGACCCTTCAGTCGGCAGGCCTACGCTCTATCCACTGAGCCAAACCGATTAGGGCTGAGCCATATTTTTGGAAAACTAATTGCACTCCAGTCTGTATTGCTCTTTGTGACTGTTATATATAAGGGTTGCCCCAATCATCAGAATCACTTTTTGAGTGCAAGAGACTACGTTAGGCAATAAATAGTTAATAGCTACAGCATCAGTACCAGGAAGAGAAGTAAAAGACCAGCATGCTTCAGAAAACGACTTAAGACAAACTAAAGGGTGCGGGGATACCACAAGAAACATATCACAAGCCTCTGCATCTTCTGGCATCACATAAACACATACTAGAATGGAGCCAAGATAATCCAAGTCATATAAAAACATTTCAAAGGTACTGTTGCTCTCCAAAGTCAGTGCCCGGAGGAGGTCACACTCTCAGTCTAACCTGGTGTGAGCAATGTCCAGACCCCAGGTGGTGCTCCAGCTGGGCTATCCCTGTACCTTTCCCCAGGCCAACAGCCAACTAAAGCCAGAACAACAGGCTTTAGCGACAGGAAATGCAAAGTCAGTGGGAACCAAAGCTACAGGGACGGGGCAAACGTTGCCTTAAACAATTGATTATTCAACGTAGAGGAAAAAACTGGGAAAGTAGCCATGGATTTTTTGCCATTTTCTCCCCGTTATCTGGCGGGTCCTGAGAGTAATAAAGAGAGTGACTCCTCCGAAACGCTTTGTTACTCATTTCAAAGACCTGCCACTCACCTTACCCAAATCCAATGTCTGACTGCATTTTGATGAGCAAATGGATGGTGTCCTCATTATTCTTGGTTACATAACCTCCTCCCTGTCTCTGGTTAGGCCTATTTCCTGGATGTCCTCAAAACATACACAAATAGCGACAGTACAGTACTGTCATGTTATGTAGCTTTGCTCATAATGAAACCTTTCTAAACCAGTTTCATCTGGAAAAAATACACTTCACACGCAGTTGTAACTATTTTCAAACTTGTTGGTTAGATGTCTAGAATGGTCTTCCTTTCCACCGTTCACATCTAGCTCAGGTCTCACTTCACTCTCTTGAAGCCTTCCCCACATTCTTCTGCACTTGTAAGAAGCTGACTTTAAAGCAATAAGGTTGATTTTAGTATGGGTCCCAAATAGCACTGAAGGCCATCTGAAAGTTAACGTTGCCTGATGATGTTACTGGAATAGACATATAACTTCACAAGATAACTACTGGCAAGATTGAAAGCTTTGTATTTTCTCATTACTCCAGAGTTAGCATGGGTTCTACAATTGTTAACCCTCACCCAAGGATTTTTTTTTTTTTTTTTTAAGAGAGAGTGGAAAGGAGGAAGGGGGGAGAGAGATCATGTGAAAAAGACATATCGATTGTTTGCCTCTGGCACGGTCCTTGACAGGGGCTGGGGATAGAACCTGCAACCCAGGTACTACCCTTAACGGGGAATCGAACCTGACACCCTTTGGTGCGTGGGCTGTTGCTCTAACCACTGAGACACAGGCCATGGCTACCATTCAGCATATGAATGTTTTCTAACTTTATGTATACAAACAAGACTGTATTCTCCAACGCAACAAGAAACAGCCCTTAAACTGAAATGCTGAAATGAGTCAGTCTACCGTAGATCAAAGGAGAGGCTGTGGCAAATACAAATTGATCCTCATTACTTGCGAATTCTGTACTCACAAATTCACCTACTCACTAAAACTTATTTGTAACCTTGAAATCAATACTTGAAGTACTTTAGCAGTCATTCATGGGCCAGTCCACGGGGGAGGGGGCGGAGTTGCCTGCCCAGAGTGCCTGTTACCAGCTGTCCTTTCTTGTTTTAGCTCATATTATAAACAAATGTCCTTTTCGTGATCAATTTTGTGATCACATTTTCGTCCTTTTTGTTGGTGATTTCATTGCTTAAAATGGCCCCCAAGCCTGCATAGTACTGAAGTGCTTGCTGTGTAGGATTTCAAAGCACTGGAAAGCTGTGATGTGCCTTACAAAGAAAATTCCTTTATATACACTCCAGGCATGAATTATAAGTGCTGCTGGCCCTGAGTTCAACATGAATGAATAAACAATGTATGTCAAATAAGCTGATTTAAATAGAAACACTTTATAGAATAAGATTATGTACTGACCAGTTTAAAAAAATGTGACCAGAAGCTCACAGGAACCTAACTTTTTATTCCTCTGAAGAGCAATTTTTCAGTATTTGCGAATTCATTGTTCACTGGTAACTTTATAGAACATAACTACTATGAATTAACCAGTCAACTGTACATTCATATACAAAACAGATGCTTTAAAAAAAAAGTATATTTATTGATTTCAGAGACAGGAAGGGATAGGGAGAGAAACATTGACCGGCTGCCTCCTGCATGTGGATCAAGCCTACAACCTGAGCATGTGCCCTGCCGGGGGAATTGAACCAGTGACCTCCTGGTGCATGGGACAAAGCCATACCAGGCTGGGCATAACGGAATGCTTTTTGAGACACTGGATTTGAGAAGTGTGAGATAGATTTCTTCCTTCAGGTGGCTTAGAACCCGTCATTTTTATGTATAGCCTGTCCAAGGGTCAATTTTAGTTCAATTTATTTTAATGGACCATCTAGTTTTTTGTTTTTTTAAAAAAATATCTTTATTGATTTCAGAGAGGAAGGAACGGACATCAATGAGGAGAGAGAATCATTGATCGGCTGCCTCCTGCACGCCCCCTCCTGGGGATCTAGCCCACAACCAGGGCATGTGCCCTTGACTGGAATCAAACTCGGGACCCTTTAGTCCGCAGGCTGACACTCTATCTATTGAGCCAAATCAGTTAGGGCTGGACCACCCAGTTTTATTCTGTATTTACCAATCTTCCTTTCTTTTTTTGATTTCCCACATAGTAGGTAGCTTGGTAGTTTTATATAAAATTATAAAATCAGAAACTGGCATTAAGGTATGTATGTCTTTTGCGAGTTTGTTGAGAATGTGTCAAGGTTTGCCAAGTACCTCATGAACCTAGATGAGTCCAGCATCAAAGTTCTAGATTATAAAATAGAGAACAATACTGGAACCAGGCAACTTACAGCACAGCTATACAAGCTCAAATAAAAGTCATCAGTAGTGTAATTTCAAATCCAAATATAGGAGTGAGGCCTCATAGAAAACTCTGTTTTATCCAGCTTGGATATCACAGGTTGAATTCAACAGCGTGTGATAAAAGAGACATAATTCAAAGCACATATTCTGTTGAAGGAGGTTGAGGAAGTCAGATCTCCGTAGGACTTGGCAAGGAGGGTTGACTTCCTCCCAATTATACAAGTAACCAAGAGCTTTAATGGTCAAGTTCTTTTTTTGTTTTTAATATATTTTATTGATTTTTTACACAGAGGAAGGGAGAGGGATAGAGAGCTAGAAACATAGATGAGACAGAAACATTTATCAGCTGCCTCCTGCACACCCCCTACTGGGATGTGCCCACAACCAAGGTACACGCCCTTGGCCGGAATTGAACCTGGGACCCTTTAGTCTGCAGGCCGAAGCTCTATCCACTGAGCCAAACCGGTTAGGGCAAGAGATTAAGTTCTTAAAAAAGTCTATAGGGGCTAAGGAAACCCATGGCTAAGTTAATAAGTTAAAGGCAAAGGCCAGAATGTTTGAATCTGTTTGCACTATGAGTACAGAGTGTAGTACAGTTAAATGTCCCTCAAAAAGGGGGGGGGGGGGGGATTTGAATTGGCCTCGGGTGGAGGGTGAAGTACCAAAGCTCCTCTGTTCTCTGTTGGAGACCAGGATAAAAGCCTTTCCCACATACCTGTAGCTAAGTGACACTTGTATGGAAGAAAAGCAGTACTTCAAGTTAAGTCAAAGTGAAAATATTACCTAAGTTAGAGGCACAGGGATTCTTTCATTTCTATGTCCTGTTTAATGTTACTACAACCATACTGGAGCCCTACTTCCTGAGTGATAGGTAGAACACTAGATTTTCCTATTTGACAGAAATTGAAAATCCAAAACAAAACCTTTGAACCACTGGTAGTCTCTGAGAGAAGAGCAATATGATCCATAGAGACATTGCTCCAAACACACACCTATTCTTTGCAAGTCTTTGTCTATTCACTATAACTAGAATAGTTGAAGGTCGGAACCAATTTCAGACCCTTGAACGCTTTCTTCAAATACACTTCCACATGTTACCCTGAGAACTAAGGCTGAAGGGACGGATCAAAAAGGAGACTTAGACCATTTAAGAACAAAACAGGTATATTTCTATTGGACTACCTGATACAGAGGATGGTGTGGTATGGATGGATAGTATGAATGACAAATAATACAAATATATTTTATTTGAAATAAACAAATATGCTTACACAGCTCAATAGGTCACTTGGAAACAAATTCTTGCTTGACTGTATTACTGAGCAAAAACAAAGCTGAAGCACAAACACCCTTCTTTTTTGACATGTATATGCAGATAGGTAGGAAGACACTACTTGGTTTTTAAAAAACTGACCTTCCCTTAAGGCCTGGTCATAGAAGTGTAAACAATGTAAATGAATCCACCATTTCAGTTGTCATATCATATCTATGTCACCTGTGTATTCTGAGATCACACATATACCTGCCCATAAACCTAGAAGGGTTGCTATATCACAGTTACATTTAAGTTCTTGGCAGGCAGGACTGAGGAAAAGTCATGTAGAACAAGTTTTACATCCTATTTAGAACAAATCACTAGTATTCCCTTAAATAACAGGCTACAATAGAAAGATACTGCCGGGAAGTTATCCTTTTCACTTTGGTTCATTTTTAGGTTTTGTTTGTGATTTACAGAGCTGTTTGATTTGTTTGCCTATAGTACAATCCTGCCACATGTATTAAAGCACAGATACCTATTATTTCTTCATCTTCATTTTTCAACTCTGATACTCTACTACATCCCTCGTATGTCAGCAGTTCTGGAATATTAAAAAAACAATAATGGGTAAAACTCTGCTAAAAATGCAGATATCTACAACTACAATGGTACTAGACGGGAAGGAGACAATAAGGAAGGGAAAAAAGCAAACACGTTCATGTGCAGGGAATGTGGTTCAAGTCTTTGGATTTAAAAACAACTTCCCCGGAGAAGCTGGCTATAATGGAATTTCCAGAAAACTTCCTGTGCCCAACAAAAGGCCCTGAAAAGCCCCGATCCAAACTTTTGAAAACTACAGTTACGCAATGCTCTAAGAGATGATCAAGGCAGTTGAGGGAGAGGATGGATGTGTCTTCCATTTGGCTACAGTTGGTAGCACAGCCTCTTTAGCTGTTGATGATCAGTATAAACCATGGAAGTACCAGGTGTGCTCTGAAGGACAGGGGTATAAAAGCAGTGAACATATTACCTGTCTATATCAGAAACAGGGCTTTATGGCTAGGAAAATTTTCTAAACAGTAAAATGACTCCAGGATAGACCTTTCTCTCCATCATTAAATGTGGCAGAATTAAAAAAAAAAATTTTTACAAGTAGATATAGTGAAAAAGAAAATTACAAGTCAGAGAACATAAAAGTATCAAGACAATGCTATAGGTTCAACAGTATTCCATGAGGCTAGAAAACCTGTTAACTTTGAAAGCCCTAGCAAAATATCACTCTTGTTTATAAATCACTTATTTATCATATGACCATACATTGAAACCTTTCTTTCCATGTACTGAAGAATCTTAGATCAAGCCTTTAAGCATTCTGCATTTCTTTGCCAATCTTGTAGCTGAGTATCTTGTTCCAGTCGATTTTGGTGCGGGTAACTGGAAGCTGCCGGCGCAAGGCCTTGAATGTGGTGTCTGACATTGTTTGATAGTTTTCACTAATTGCTGTCTGCAATGGATAATTAAAGCCAAGTTACTTGAACAGAAAGTAAAGTAAATGAGGTCAAGGACATTCTTGAGTCCCCTAGGAAGAACAGACAGGACATATTATTTCTACTGAACTCCTCTCCAATCTCTGAAGTGGGTTAAGAAGCCCACCTATCTTATTTATTAAACTAGGGCTACAGTCCCTTTCCATATCAAAACCTTGATTGTAAGTACAATGCCAAGTTGCAAGGTCTGCAAATTCTCCATACTTAGTAACACTGAACAACACATTTTTATGTTACAAGGACAAAGAGAAGTCTAACAAAATATGCTAACAGCAAAATAAGAAGGTAGTAAGTCTAGAAAAGTTAGTTCTAAATCTTCTTACCTGATACTCATTTTCTGCATGTTCTATGATTTTAATAAACTCCTTGGCAGTTTGTGCTTCATTCTAGTGAAGAGAGGAGAAAAGAAAAATATGAAAGCAGTGAATAAAGAGATAGTGAGAAGTCTATCTTAACTAACATGTGCACAATTTATAGTTTATCAAGTGTTCCCATGCACATTATCTTCTTTGATTCTCTTCAACAACCCTGTGAAGATCTGTTATCATCATCACTTCCATTTTGCAGAAAACAGAATCCTCTTAAGTGACTTGACCAAAATCATACAGCTTTTGAATGATAATGATGGGATCTGAATCCAGGTCTTTGCCCAAAAAAGGCCATGCTCTTTTCAATCTATCACAGTATGCCCATAAGGCACCATCATGATGTCTTCATATTTTTTCATTTTTGTTAATCCTCACCCGAGGATATTTTTTCCACTGATTTTTAGAGAGTAGAAAGGAGGGGAAAGAGAGAGAGAGAGAGATCAATTGGTTGCCTCCTGCATGTGCACCGACTGGGGTTGGGGATCAAGCCTGCAACCTAGGTATGTGCCCTTGACCGGAATCAAACCTGAGAACCTTCAAGTCAAGGGCCAACTCTCTATCTACTGAGCCAAACCGGTTAGGGTGATATCTGTAGATTTTTATGCCTTGAAAATATTTCTGCTTTAAGATGATATTAACAATGCCCTCAGATATATTGGTCATATAAGTTAAGCTCATATATTCCTCTATTTACTATTTATGATGCTAACCCAACCGATCACATTTTGCTTTACACGATTCAGATATAAAATGAACTGAATCTCTCTTCCTTTCACCATTAAGTACAACAGAATTAAAGGCAGGAGGGTAAGATTTAATGCAGAGCAGCAGTCCCCAGATTCTTTCAAATAATCAAAACTATTTTCAATCCTATATAACAAAAGCATAATATGCAAATTGTCCCCTTAGCCAGGAGTTCTGCCGGGAGTTTGACTGCTTGCTATAAGTGCACTGACCACCAGGGAGCGGCGCAGAACACAGCAAGCATTGGCGACGTGGCACTGGCAGCGGGTGGCAGTGGAAGTGCTGCAGGCCCTGATGGGCCCCAATGAGAGAGCAGGACTGGGATGGGATAGTGGAGCGGGTGAGTGGGCAATGCCAAACCAAGGCTGGTGCAAGCCACTGGTCACCGGGCTGGGCCCATCACCCCGCTGATTCGATCATCCCACTGACACGGGCTCCCAGGTGCTGAGGGAGCTGACTGGGGACCCGATGCCCCGCCAATATGATCGCAGGGTGACCAGTGACCAGCAGTGGGGGGAGAGTGGGGGGCTGGGGGAAGGGAGGGAGTACCCGGCCAGCAGCTGGCAGCCGCTAGGGACCCTACCAGTGCACGAATTTTGCTCACTGGGCCTCTAGTTTTATAATAATACTAAGAGAAAGCTACTTGCCTTTTTTACTCTTACTCTCATGTATATTCAGTATAGTTTCATAGAAGCTACATGTGTGTGATGATCTGATCACTCTGAGGCCAATGGCATGTGTGAAGCACATGAGGATTTAGTTCTTTTAGTAAGCCAGACATTGAACAATTTGTGAAAATGTAAACCAATGCCATTCTTTTCATTAATTATTTTTGGTTTGAAAAACATAGTTGTTTTCCATGAAAATGTTATTTAGGTTAAAAACTAATGGGCTTGTTACTGCAATTTTTAATTAATAAAAATTTAATATTTCTGTTTTAATTTTTTTGCATTTGAAATTTTTTTCTTTAAAAATATTTTCAATTACAGTTGACACAATATTCTATTAGTTTCAGGTGCACAACATAGTGATTGGACATTTATATGCCTTACAAAGTAATCATCCCAATAATTCTAGTATTCATCTGGCACCATACAGTTTTTTATTTCTAATAAGGTAAATACTGATAGATATAAAACACATAAACAAAAGCTACATGAGAGTGCTCAGTAACTTTTAGGAATATAAAGAAGTAGTGAGAATACAAGTAGTGAGAATATCCCTTCTTTCCAGGTACAGAACACAGAATACTTTTTGATGGAATATTCCTAAAAATGTTGTTTCTCTAAAGATATGAATGCAGCCCAATAGGATTTAGTTTGGCAATCTTTTTTTCCTCCTGGTTGTTACTGACTGAAGATATTGCTGTCCTTGAGCAAATCTCACAACTGAGAAAGAGAAAGACGGAAGTCTCAATTCTCTAAGGCCACTATTCTGAGTCAAAGACTTCGAACTAATATAGTTGGTTGGTTATATACTCTTATAAGCTGCCAAAATCAAAGCACTGAAAACAAACTGAATTTCTAACAGCAGAATCAGCCCTCAGGATCAACACTAATTTTTAAAAGAGAAACAAGACACAAATGAGACAGACATTAAATTCTTCACACTCACCGAAACAGTTACTGAATCCTGTACATCTTTATGACTAACCAACTGAACATTGCCATCTTCATAATAGTGTACCTGCGTGAAACAATGTTGTGAGCAAGTTTATGTGTAGTTCATATAGAAACCTGTTGCTTAGGGCACATATCCATGCCTTAAGCCATTCCCAATCTTTACCAACTCTGAATGAATAATTATTATTACCAATGGTAATTTACTATGGCGGTTAAAATGCACAGAACACTCAAATTTAAGAATTCTCTCTTTCCTTTGCAGGGAAAACTGATTATTAAGTTCAACAAACATTTATTATGTCTTAATGCATTTCAGGCACCACACTAGGCATTGTGATGCAAAGAACTTGAATGATTTCACGCTTAACAGTATTAAAATAAAATCATTAAACATTAGTTTTTCCCTGTGAAAACCAAGGAATTTTAATGGATTCTAATTCCTTACGCATCTTTCCATATACAGTATCATCAATATTGACAAGCAGATTTGACCAAGTGCAGGAAAAGTTTGAGGGGTAAAGACAGGATTGAAAAACAAATATTGGTAAATTAGGCTACAAAAATAAGAAAGACAAAAGCAGTTGTAAGGATATAAGGTAAAGTGGGTGCTGTAATTATGAAAACAATTAGCAAAAAAAGAGGAATACACAAGAGACAGACTAATCAATCAATGACATAAGGCTCAGGAAATCTTGGCAACTTACAAGATAGGTTCAGTCATCTTAACATGGCTATAAACTGGTCATACAGAATAAGATGAGAATTTCCTTTGTTAAGTGCATTTGCACAGGGTCTTGGAAACAGGAGTTGTCATCTAAGTGGATAAGGTAGAGAAGGGTATCTAGCAAGGGGATAAAAAAGGACAAGAGAATGGAGCACAACTGGTTTCCTTGAGGGAAGAACAAAGAACTGACTGCAGATAAGGATGTGTGGAGGAGGGGAGCGTTGCATTGTGAGACATTGCTACGAAGTAAGCTGGAGATAGACTGTGAAGAGCAAACAGCCTTAGAAACCATGTTAAGAATTCAGACTTTCTCCTATTATGAGTGATGGGGACTCAGGGAAAGGGATTGTTTTAGAAAGATTATACTTGTGTTATGAACAAAATAAAGGGAAGGGAACTAAAATTGGGGGCATAATTCCAGAACAATAGTCCAGGTAATGCCTGTTTCCTTTATCTAGTCCACACTATCAGGAGATAATTGAATAAAAGGAAATGTTTTCAGAGATAAAGCAGAAAAGGAAAAGAAAGGAGCAATAATCTGCAGTACCTTAGCATTATTTATTAAGTCATTACTATGTTAGGCATTATGTAATACATTTTACTTATTCCTTATATTTTCTCATGCTATCTTTATAAAAATTCCTGTTTTATTTACTTGATTTTAAAATCTTGTCACTATTGTAAAATAAACAAAACAAAATAACCCATTCATGTAGCTTTCTTCAAACCAAAGAGCTAAGTTTTATGTATATGTAAATACTTAAATGAGACAATATACATGAAAGACCCTAAGTTACAGTAGCTGCTATATAGTCATTTCTTAATTATTACTTATTTTTCTATTTCCTAGAACTATTTTTTGATAATTTCTGGGAAGGTCTTAGATTATCTTTGAGAGAAGAAAATAACAAGCAAGCAGTACACTCCACATGACTATCCTTTATCAAGCTAGAATAGCTCCCTCTGTTTACTTCCCCAGGAAGGAAGCTTCTATTTCTATTCACTACCATTGGTCTCCCTTTGCATCTACATATAGTTGTTTCTTATTTTTCATAACAGAACTTCCAACTTGAATGTTTCTGTGGAAGATGTGACATTTTAATATGTGGCCTATTAACATGTTGGGAATCTCACCTGAATCTTAAGTACTCCAACCACCTGGGCTGTAGGTGGTGTGATGGTGAACTTCCATTCTGATCTCCAACGACCATTCCTATTAAAAGACACACACACACATCACTATAGAATTAGCAATAAGCGTAAGTAAAAGGTGATTTTTCACTGAGGCAGATAATTTGGGAAAGAGAAAAAAGGAAACAAATCATTTCTAGTTTAACAAATCAAATATGTTTGCATACAAGTGGCCTAATCATAAGCCTTTTCCAAGTTATTTTTACTTTCATTTTTTATATTGGAGTAAAAAACCATGTTAATCTGTTCATGAGTGCCTCTTCCACAAACAGATGGATGAGCTGCTGTGTTATGCAATTAACCAAAGTATTGTTAACCAAATCCAAGTAAAACTCAGACTTTTTTATTTTTTTCTTTATTGTTGTTTTTTTTTTTTAGAGAGAGAAAGGGAAACATCAATTTGTTATTTAACTTATGCATTCACTGGTTGATTCTTATATGTGCCCTGACCAAGGATCGAACCTGAAACCTTAGCATGTTGGGACAACGCTCAATCAACTGATCTACCCAGCCAGGGCAAACTCAGACTTTTAACTGGGCACTTTATGAATCTGGTTTGGTTCCTTTCCAATATAAATGAGATACAAATAGAACATCTACTTTCTTACCAGAAATTTTTAGGCTGAAACTGGTGGCTTTCAATACACGCAATAATGGTCTGTTGCCCATCTATAGTTTTAGCATAAACCTATTATTAAAAAAAAAAAAAGTTAGACTCTGAAAACACATTTGATCTAAACAACAAATGCTGTATAAAAGCAGTGTGCTAAATCACTAAATCTTTTGGGGAAATAAAGAATCAGAGAGGATGAGCTGAAAATTCAAAAGAATTCATGGGATATGAACACTAAGCAGAACATATTAAGTTCTAGATGAGACAGAGGTACAGGAATACAGAGAGAAATACTGGTTTCAGATACAGGGGGTGCCAGTTAGGCTGGACCTTGTAAGACAGATGATGGTCTCATAAGTAGAGACTGGGAATAAAAGATGAGTAACGTTCAGGTAAGAAACTAGGGTTTGTTATATCTTTGTTATATCGCCTCCAGAACTAATTAACCAATATTAATCAGGAGGCCACGGAATTAATCTAGGCAGTAAGTTAGGGTAGTATCAATGGACAGCAAGATGCAGAAGCACAATCAAAGATCTAGCAATATACTGCAAGTGAAGGGCAAAAGCAAGTAAGTACTTGCATGCTTGGGTAACTAGAAAGATGGTGGGTGGTACCATTAACAAATTGGGAAATTTAGATAGAAGATGTCTAGCTCATAGTTAGAAACACGTCTAAGCTAAAGACCTTTGATGACTTAAAAAAAAAATTTTTTTTAATTGATTTCAGATAGGAAGGGAGAGGGGAAGAGGGAGAGAGAGAGAAACATTGATGAGAGAGAATCACTGATTGGCTGCCTCCTGCATGTCCCCTACTAGGGATCAAGCCTGCAACCCGGGACCCTTCAGTTTGCAGGCTCTATCCACTGAGCCAAACCAGCTAGGGCCTTTTTTTTTTCTTGGTGGGAGTGAGGTAATTTCTGACGAAATGTGAAATAGGATACATTGACTGAGATTTAAAATTTTTATGCAACTGGGATTTAAGAAAATAATTTTCCATATAAAATTTTCCATTCATACTCCTTTCAAACATTATTCAGGGAATAAAATGCAGGAGACTGTACCTAAGAAGAAAGAAGTGATGTTTGGCTGGCCAACGCCCTCAAAGAATGGGTAAAGGAAAGCAATTAAATACTCTCATAATGAAACAGGCAGATACTTAACAGTACAGAAGCCACTGGAATAATGGTCTTTCACATAGGCCCTTAAAGCGCTGTCACAGGATTCTCTCCAAGACTTCAGACCTCCATCTACTTCCTCTGGCTGGGGGTCACTTGCTTCTTTCCGTAAGTGATCAAACTTAAAGGAAATTTTGTTTCTGGGATCTAAAAATCTGCTGTTACCCAAGTCACCGTGTTCTGTAATTAAGACCTTCCAAAGAATAATTACAATCATGAGTAACTTTTGTAAAAAAGACAGTTGTTGACACATTTTACAAAGCAAATAAAATTTCTGAAGAAGACAGTTAACTTTTCATTGTCAGATTTCTTCCTTACCAATATTTCCATCAAGTAATTTTATTCTTTAGTCTAACCCTCATAAAGCTTCTTCTTAATGTTGCAACTTTTGTAACTAAAAGGTAAATATATCACATTAATTTTAATCTGCACTTCTTTAATTACTATTACTAGGCAATCTAACACTTTTCCAAGTTTGCTTTATATTCCCCTACTGGGTGCAGTTGGTTCATATCTGTTCCTTATTTATTCAATGAACTCTTGACATCATCCTTAGGTATCTCAATAATCTTTTTATCTATTACTAAAGGCCCGATGCACAAAATTTGTGCAAGGAGCTCGGCCCTCGCAGCCGCGGCTTCGTCTGGAAGGTTGTCCGGAAGGTCGTTCGGCTGTCTGGTCTAATTAACATATTACGCTTTTATTATTACAGATGTTTGAAGTGATTACCTCCTTTTAAAATCTTATTTATAAAACTTATTATGCAGAAGCCACTTTCTTTTACAAATTTTTCTAATGTTTCGTTATTACTCAAGTTATGATTCACTTTCCATTTCCTACTACAGCCCAGGAGCAGGGGCCAGGCAATGGTTCAAGGTCAGTTTGCTCTGGCATGAAACACTAAGAGACACCCAGAGGGATGGGCTTGCCGTTACATTATTTTTTTTTCTTTCAAAAAAACAGATAAACTTTAAACCCAAGAAATAATCTAGATATATAGTTGGCACTGAAAATCAGTTAGATTAATCTTATACATTTTAGGAACTGTTTCCTTTTCCTTCTGTTTATGATACTTAGGTTTAAGGTTTCTCCACCCACTGCTTGTCTTTATGTTTGCTAGCAGTCTCCCTTCACTGTTGTTCTTGATCAGAATACTGCTGTATGGTCAATAATAATTTTCACAAGAATTGTATAAAATCTATTTGAAAAACAAATGTTCCCATATCATTTTCTACAGGCCTGGTGCATGACATTCGTGCACTTGGGGGGTTCCCTCAGCCCAGCCTGCACCCTCTCGCAGTCAAGGAAGCCCTCGGGAGATGTCCGACTGACGGCTTAGGGGGGAGCAGCCCTAAGCTGTCAGTCAGACAATCTTAACGCTGCTGTGGAGGCGGGAGAGGCTCCCGCCACTGCTATTGCACTCGCCAGCTGTGAGCCTGGCTTCTGGCGCACTGACCACCAGGGGGGCAGCTCCTGCATTGAGTGTCTGCCCCTTGGTGATCAGTGTGTCTCATAGTGACTGGTCGTTCCACCGTTCGGTTGATTTGCATATTAGCCTTTAATTATATAGGATATTTCTACTCAGATAAGCTTCCCATATTATTTATATTTCTTATCCAGAAACATGACACTTAAATCTATTGTTTTCCACTTATTTTTCTGATCAAAATGTGTGAGTTTATATGAACTGTATGGCAGAAGACTCTCATTAGTTTCTTATCTAATATCCACTTTCTCCTTTTTCCGTAACAGAGCCTCAAAGGTTTTCAAGAAGGTAATGTATTCAATTAAAAAATGACAATTCCCAGCTAGGAATGATATGTATTCTGGCAAAAACATACGATTGGAAGGGGCTTCTGGAATGACCAATAGCATGTTTCAAACCTACCTCCTCTTTCCTTCCTGGAACACAGATTCACTGCCCAGAAATGGAGCAGCTATCTTGAGAGCATAATGAAAACCATACCTAAGAATGGCAGAATAGAGCTAGAAGCAACCTGGGTTTCTGATGACACCACAGGCCTGCCATATCAGCCTTATTACCTCCGAACTCCTATGTAACAAAAATAAGATCTCCATTTAGTTGACCCACTGTGGTTGATTCTTTGTTATATGCTATGATATCTAATAAACCATACATCTTTAATTGTCCAAGTAATATCTTTTTTTTTTGCTGTTATGGCTAAGAATCTGATCCCCTTTTGACTACATTTTTAAGTTGGTTATTACTTATATGGAAATGTTGACAAAATTAGCCATTTTTATATCTACTTTGGTTTATAGGATTTCTATTATCTTTCAGGCATAGCCTATGAAATAGAAATAATTTTTACCTGATCTTCATATCCTTCTATCTTCACAGGTGTGAACTGATCCATGTTATACTGGGCAAATGCACTGTTTTTCAAAAGTGAAAAAAAAAATAAAAAAGAAAGAATTATATATAAACACAAAATGTACTTCACATAATAGCAAAAGAGAAGGTGAAACACTCCCTGGTCTTTTCCCCTTTATCTCTAGGCAACTGGTGATACTGTAATGTCTTCCAGCTTTCCGCAGGAACTCCTCTCCACAGCATCTCAGAAGTGCACTAAGCTCTGAAATTCCCTTTTCCTCTCCACTCCTAAACTCCAACACAGCTCACATTTGGATGGTTCCTAAATTTTAAGCTATCTGATTATAGTGAATTACCAACAGTTTAATCATTTAGATAGGAGCTTTCAGTAATTCAAAAAGTATCTTCAATTGAGGCACTATTTTGGAAATCTTGTTTTCTTTGTTCTGGGCTCTGAGGTAGGAGAGACCATAATTAAATGTTCTGGAAGGCACCCTGGCCAGTGTGGCTCAGTTGGTTGGGCATCCTCCTGTGCATCGAAAGGTGGCCGGTTTGATTCCGTCAGGGTACATGCCCAGGTTTCAGGCTCAATCCCCATCAGAGGGTGTGCAGGAGGCAGACGATTGATGCTCCGCTCTTACATGGATGTTTATCTCTCTCTCCCTTCCTCTTCCTCTAAAAATCAATAAAAATATTTTTAAAAAATGCCAAAAAATTGCCGAAACTGGTTTGGCTCAGTGGATAGAGCGTCGGCCTGCGGACTGAAGGGTCCCAGGTTCGATTCCGGTCGGGGGCATGTACCTGGGTTGCGGGCGCATCCCCAGTAGGAGATGTGCAGGAGGCAGCTGATCGGTGTTTCTCTCTCATCGATGTTTCTAACTCTCTGTCTCTCTCCCTTCCTCTCTGAAAAAAAAATCAATAAAATATATTAAAAAAAAATACCAAAAAATTAAATGTACTGGAATGTATCTGACATGGGGAGAATGAGGTGAGAGTTGAGCATCAGTCAAGTCTCACAGGAGAACCTAAGGCTGAGTAGAGGTTATAAAAAAAAGAAAAAAAGAAAAAAAGAAAAAAAAAGGGATAGAATAAAGATTCAAATACATGCCTCATATTGTTTATTTCTTCGGTGCTAGATTTATGAAACTTTGCATTTTCTTTTTTTATTTTTCATATTTTTTATTATTCATGTTTTCATCTTTTGCTTAAATCTGCATTTTCAATTGCTTCCTAGTACATCTTACAAAGTAAGTTAAAGTAAAAGATAAGGCAAAATAAAGATGGAAATAAGCTTCAGTATAAAAAAACATAATAGCCCTGACCGGTTTGGCTCAGTGGATAGAGCGTCGGCCTGCGGACTGAAAGGTCCCAGGTTCGATTCCGACCAAGGGCATGTACCTTGGTTGTGGACACATCCCCAGTAGGAGGTGTGCAGGAGGCAGCTGATCGATGTTTCTCTCTCATCGATGTTTCTAACTCTCTATCCCTCTCTCTTCCTCTCTGTGAAAAATCAATAAAATCTATTTAAAAAAACAAACAGAAAAAAAACCCCATAATACACTTATATGCTTATGCAGTATCAGTCCTCTCACACAATTCACTTGCCAAGAGAAGAATTAAACATCTCTCCAGCCCAATTTTAACCCGCTAAAACATCTGCCAGATCACTCCTTTTAAGCAAAGCATAGAATCTTTCCTAGACTTTTCAAGAGAAACCAAAGTAACAAATATGTGAACATCAAATATTTAAGGCTAATCATCAATCTTCTCATCCTAAGTTATTGTTGTGTCTTTTAATGAATCATTTCCTTATAATACCATATCTCCATGTAGCAAAATAAGTCCTAAATACACTGGCTCTTTAGAATAAAATATAAATTAAGTGTTCATATTTATTATTTTTTTAAAAAAGCTTAAGAATAGGGAATAAATAAGTACTTCATTCTAGGGTATGTCCTAGACTGTAGATTACAAATATCAACACTAAAATCTGTTACCATCAGATCATCCTTGATTCTTCTTTCTCTCATACTTCACATCTAATCCATCAGTAAATCTTGTAGTTCTACCTTGAGTACATTATTAAGAGTCTTACTCCTTCCCACCAATTCTACCACTGTCACTCTAAGTATAATTTTGATTTATAATTTTGATTTACACACACACACACACACTAATTACCTATCTTTTTTGCTCCAAAGTGACTTTTAAAAAATTAGGTGCCTGTATTTGTATATAAGGATTTCTGGTACCAAGAATTAACTAATCAGTTACAACCTTATTATGCAAGGTGACCAATAAGATGCAACTACATTATATGACCTATATATTTATGGTTCAAGACAGGGTATTCACACCAAATAGCTATTGTTGTGTAGGCTACTGTCATTTATTAAAATTTGACAATCTAAGGGAAAAGAAGTCAGTGCTCCCTAATAAATGGTCACGTGTTGAATGTTTTAAAAATTCTTGTAGCACACTGGTTAAAAATTGCTTTAGTCCAAACCACCACCATTTATCTCTGAACCACTCGGTCTTCTAAGCACTCATTTTACTTCAATCTTTGCCCACCCCTACATAGCAGCCAGTGATTACCCTAAAATGTAAGAGTCATCATGTTATTCTCTGCTTAAAACACTAATAATTTCCTATCTCTCTCAGAATAAAACCTTCTCTTTAACATGGTCTACAAAACCCTATTTAGTGCAGAAGTGTTCAGAATTATCAGAGAATGATTCTGGTGGAAATCCAGGAAAGAGGGTAACTCCTAGGTTGTTCCTTCTTCATTTTACATAGAAGGCAATGATAAGGATGATAATCACTGGGACAACACTTACTGAGTGCTACCTATGAGGACTAGGACCAACGGACCAAAGTACCTCATTATTGGAAATAAAACTGAACTCTTCATTTGTATGGAAAATCAAGTATTTGAGCATAAGACATTCTCCTTTAGGAAGAGGTTTTCCAAGAATCTAGAGTCCATAAGAACCAGAATATTAATAAATACAAAGCTTTATTGTCAGTGTAATTAAAACTATTGAAGCATCTGAACTCACACCAAATTCTACTGTCACTCCTAACTGGAAATGGACAACAGGCTTAGGATGTACTCATCCTTGGATCTTGACATCCCACTCCCAATCCCCCTTACCAAGTACAGAGAAGAGTTAAGTTTGGGTAGCTCTCAAGGATAAAACTAAGACCAATAAGGCAGGAAGATTGAAGAACTTGCCTTGTGAAATAGCGAATTCATTATTAGAAGCATTCAGATGGAATAACCAAATGTTGACAAAACATAGATAAGATTTTTTCAATGAAAGGGCACAGGGTAAACGGGTTGAACTAGCCAGCCATTAATGTTTTTTTCTATGGCAGAATCTATGCACCTAAGGGAAATTAGAATGTCTCTTTAGTGTGTGTCTAAATCAATGTATAATTAGGATATTTTTCATAATGATAATTATAAGTGATGGTGTGCAAATTTTAGGTTTGTAGAATCTGGTCCCAAAATGAGTTCCAAAAAGCAGTATGGACAGGGCAGAAGATGACTGTTTCCCAGGCAGCAGCTTAACAGCTTTCTATAGTTAACATCTAAACCAATTATATTTCATACCAAATGCATTCATAATTATTTGATGTTCTGCATCAAAGTCCTTATCCCATCTCCCCACCTCACTCTTTCCCAGACATATCCAACTATGTTTTCCTCTTTACAAAGAAACTCTGGACCAGTTGGATAGAGAGTAAATTAAATAAAATATACTAAAGAGTAAAGGAGAGTAGTGATAAAGCCAGATAACCAGGGGCCTTGAAAGCTAGACAGTATTTAGAACTGAAGACGCAATGAAAACAAAACAAGCAAACCTATACCACTATAACATTTTAAAAAACATATATTTTTATTGATTTCAGAGAGGAAGGGAGAGGGAAAGAGAGATAGAAACATCAATGATGAGAGAAACTCATTGACCGGATGCTTCCTGCACGCTCCCTTCTGGGGGTCCAGTCCGCAACCAGGGCATGCGCCCTTGACTGGACCTGAACCTGGGACCCTTCAGTCCGTAGGCTGATGCTCTATCCACTGAGCCAAACCAGCTAAGGCTACCACTGTAACTTTTTTAAAACAAAGACAAAATGAAAATGCTTCTTTATAAAGATTAGCCTGACAAGTGATAAGTCAATGACTGGGTAGAATAACAGTGCTATTATTCTATGATTAATTCTTTTATTTATTTTTTATTGATTTCAGAGAGAAGAGAGAGATAGAAACATCAATGATGAGAGAGAATCACCGATCGGCCGCCTCCTGCATGCCCCCTACTGGGGAATGAGCCCACAACGAGGGCACGTGCCCTGACTGGGCATCGAATCGCAACCCTGTGGTTCATGGGTTGACACTCAACCACTGAGCCACATCGTCTGGGCTCTACTGTTAATTCTTACCATAAATTCACTTTATGAATATCTGCTATTCTTTGGCAATTTGAGAAACATTTTTATTCTTCAACTGCAGCCTAATCTTTCTATAACTGTTTTTTAAAAATTCAACAGGAGCTAAAGAACTATAGAAGAAAACCCAAGAGCCAACATTTAACTCTGCTGTAATGGGGGAAATTCACACCAAAATAAATAACTAATAAGTAAAATAATATAATAAGCAAAATAATATAATAAGCTTTAAGAAAGTAAACATTTTGGTGGAACATGTTTTCTCTAAGAATAAAACAATTAAAACTGCTAAAATAAACTGCTTCATTTTGAAGTACTTTAAGCTAAGTTTTCAGGGTGTCAGTTTACTATTAACATAGTTTATGCAATGTTAGAATAACACTGTAAACAGATTTTTAAAGATACTTACTGTGCTGCCCCTTCCCTGAGGAGATTGTCATTACTAAGTAGTAGCCGAACATCTGAGGAAGAAAAAAATTGTTAAAAGATGTTAAAATTACAATGTTCAATAGGACAAACTTGAGAGTTAAGCAGATTTCTAAATTAGATTAAAAATTTTTTAATTTATGATTTGAGAGAGAGAGAGAGGGGAGGAGAGAGAAACATTGATTTGTTGTTCCACTTATTTATATATTCATTGGTTGCTTCTTCTATGTGCCCTGACCAGAGATAACCTGCAACCTTGGTGGGACAACACTCTAACCAACTGAGCTACCTGGCCAGGGATCTAAATTTGACTTTTTAAAAATCAGATTTTGAAAGATTAGTCTTTGGATATATTGTTTCTAAAAATGCAAACAAATAGCTGCTAATGTTCATAGATTTGCATACAATTCTCAGAGTTTCTTAACAAATGAAAAACATGGTTTACAGAAGGTTAAAGTAAGGACTGTTAATTTTGTATCTAAAGAATCCTTTAAAATCAGATTAAGAATTCCAAGTTTGCCCTAGCTGGTTTGGCTCAATGGATAGAGCGTCAGCCTGGGAACTGAAGGGTCCCGAGTTCGATTCTGGTCAAGGGCACATGCCCGGGTTGCGTGCTTGATCCCCAGTAAGGGGTGTGCAGGAGGCAGCCAACCAGTGATTCTCTCATCATTGATGTCTCTCTCTCTCCCTCTTTCTTCTTTTCTAAAATCAATAAAAACATATTAAAAAAGAAATGCAAGTTTATCTGTAACATCAGACTAAGAAAGCTGGGCACAATTTAGTCAGTGGCAGTGAAGTTGCTGAACATATCTTTCTTTGAATAATCTTACGTGGGAGCCTACAATCTTTTAAAAAAGCTGTGTTAAGAGTCTAGTCACTTTTCTTTTGTTACTAGAAACTACCAAGAATTAATTCCAAGGGGGAACACTAATTACAAACTGAAGGCCATTGACTCTTGGGGCTTCTGAAAGAAAGGATTGGCAGAGGCCAGATGTGTAGCAGGCCAATAAAAACCAGCCCTGAGGTCACAGGTAGCTTGCCAATTCTTTTTTTTGTAAAATATGTTTTTATTGATTTTAGAGAGGGGAAAAGGAGAGGGAGAGAGATAGAAACATGGATCAGCTACCCAGGCATGTGCCCTGACAGGGAATTGAACCAGCAACCTCTTGGTGCACTGGAGGGCGCCCAACCTAGTCACACCAATTTGGTATCAATTATTTTCATGGTACTGTACATTCAGTTCTCAAAAATAAAACAAGGGACGTCTAATTATGAAGACCATTAATATTATTAAGAATTTATCTGAACTAATCAGTCAGATAAAGTCAAGTCAAAGGAGTATTTTCTAAAAGCTCAGTTGTTGAAAATTTACATTCAGTCAATGTGGAAGACTAGAAAGGTTACATTTGTTTCTCTTTGCTGTTAGTGCTCAAAATCTACAAACAAGTCTATAACAGAATGTCTTCATTTTCCTGTTGCATTATTTACTCCTTATAGTAAATGTTTGTATGTTCTCCTACTTACTCTTTCTCTACATCATTAATTTTATCAGTGGAGATTATAATTGTTCTATGATGCTGGGTCAGTTACAGATGAATATCACACAATCCCTCTCAAATAGGTAACCTTCTCATGTAAAACTAGAATTTCAAAATAAATGTTTGCTAAACTGAACCAAGATGCACAAAGATTATGATTTTACTTAAGGGTCCCCTTAAGATAAATTGAGATTATGATGATTGCTTTTATTGTGAAGTTCAAGATGCCTCATCTACATTTTTCATGCTGTAAGCTGTGTTAAGACAGTGAATAGGCCCTGGCTGGTGTGGCTCAGTTGTTTGGGCATCGTTCCTTGCACCAAAGGATCACTGATTCCATTCCTGGTGAGGGCACATACCCAGGTTCTGGTTTGATTCCTGGTTGGGGTGCTTACTGGAGGCAACCACTCAATGTTTTTCTCTCTGTTCTCTCTCTCTAAAATCAATAAAAACATATTTTAAAAAAAGACTGAATAATATGGAAGGTTGTAAATGTTTTAGAATAGTGATCCCCAAACTGGCTGTGACTCAGAATCACCTGAGAGAACTTGATATAACAGATTCCACCCCAGATCTAATGAGTGAGAATCTTGAGAGGGTAACAAGCTGACATGTGCAAATATAACAAACTTCCCAGATGCAGCCAGTTTAGTCCCAATGGCTCTAGAAAATCTCCTATACTATGGCACTTTCTGAATGAAAGCACTGAAGAAACTTAAGCTTTGATTTATAATGACAGATAAAAAACCATGAAAACAACTTAATATTCTTTCTACACTTACTGATATTAAACTACTTTAAATCTTTTCTCACATAAAATATGTAGAGAGTGCCTGGGAAGGCACATGAGCTAATTGTCGGATGAATCCAGTGGCGTCAGCAGAGCCACATCCTGGAAACATTCCGTGCCAGAGGCAGGTATGTTGTCAGCCTGACCCTTAGGTCAGGTACCAGGGAGTGGGTTTCATTATCTAAGTTCAGCCAGGCGCAAGGAACGGACACAATTATCCGGGCTCAGCCAGGAGTGACAATTACAAAGAAGCCACAAGAATGAAGAATTGCAGCTTGATCTTTAACCATGATTTCACATAATTTCCTTTGTCTTAAACGCTAGTAAAACATCCTAGAACAGCGGTTCTCAACCTGTGGGTCGCGACCCCTTTGGGGGTCGAACGACCCTTTTACAGGGATCGCCTAAGACCATCGGAAAACACATATATAATTACATATTGTTTTTGTGATGAATCACTATGCTTTAATGATGTTCAATTTGTAGCAATGAAAATACATCCTGCATATCAGATATTTACGTTATGATTCATAACAGTAGCAAAATTACAGTGATGAAGTAGCAACGAAAATAATTTTATGGTTGGGGGTCACACAACATGAGGAACTGTATTAAAGGGTCGCGGCATTAGGAAGGTTGAGAACCACTGTCCTAGACTCATGCTGTATATAATAAACGTGCTGCACCAGCTCTGGGTCACTGTCCTTTCATCAGAGGGCAGCTGTCCCACCCGGTCCCAGCTTTCCCTACTGTCTCTGTGTCTGTCTCGTTCTTTTTCTCAATCCCCTGTCGCCCCTACTCAGGACTCGTCGTCGGCTCTCTAGCCGTGCTGGCCGCGGTCTAAGACAGAAATACTTATAATTTTTACTTACCATTGAATACTTCATTAAATTCCCCTGGAGGTGCATGAGTGATGAATTTAGCAGCTATGCGTACCTAGAGAAATAAAATTTACAGAAAGAGAGTTATGAAAAGTAACAAATAAAAAGGAAAGGAATTAGCAGATTATAACATTTTCAATACTGGTGGCCCGGTACATGGATTTGTGCACACTGAAAGGAAATTAATTAGAAGAAAGATTCGTGCAGTAATTACATTACTGCAAAAAATTACATGTCGAAATAGTATATATAATATAGTATTATAAAATTAAAACACGTGTGTGATTGGCGCAAGAGCTTTATATGTATCGCGCATGCAGTAGTCATCGTTTATTCAGAAACTGCCAGTGCACGGCATATGTGCTGGCTGGCCAGCCAGTCAGAATACGCACGGTCGATTACTTAGCCTTTTAGATAGATAGATAGATAGATAGATATCTCTTGTTTACTTTTTTTTAATACACTTTTTTGTATGATGGGAGAGAGAGATAGAAACATCAATGATAAGAGAGAATTATTGATCAGCTGCCTCCTGTACACCCCACACTGGGGATCGAGCTTGCAACTCGGGCATATGCCCTGACCAAGAATTGAACACTCGCCAGAACCGGTTTGGCTCAGTGGATAGAGCGTTGGCCTGTGGACTCAAGGGTCCCGGGTTTGATTCCAGTCAAGGGCATGTACCTTGGTTGCGGGCACATCCCCAGTGGGGGGTGTGCAGGAGGCAGCTGATCAATGTTTCTCTCTCATTGATGTTTTTGGCTCTCTATCCCTCTCCCTTCCTCCCTGTAAAAAATTAATAAAATATATTAAAAAAAAAAAAAAGAATTGAACTCTCAACCACTGAGCACACAGCCCGGGCAAATATATCCCTTGTTTAAACCTTTAGGTCCTAGTCACCTTATATTCTCCATTATTACAATCTTCATCAATAATTGTAAATAATGGCAACTTTTTTACTGATCAAAAAAAAAAAGTTTTCCATAAAAGAGAAAAAACTCATGGACACTGACAACAGTGTGGTAATTGGTGGGGGAGGAAGGGAGGTAGAGGAGGGCATAGAGGGAATGATGATGGAAGGAGACTTGACTTGGGGTGGTGAACACACAACACAGTGTATAGATGATGTGAATACAGACAATAGTAGTAGGAATGTGGACAGGTTAGATATATTGTTAACTGAAAAGATACAAAGGAAATTGGTATATTGGTTGCCTCTCAGGGGAACTGGGCGGTTGGAAAACGGGTGGGAGGGGACTTTTTACTTAAGCCTTTTCTACCATTTTAATTTGAAGCATGTGGTTATAGTTCCTATATACCTAAAATACTTTTTTTTAAATGAAGGAACAGAATCTAATAAAAGGAAGAATGAACGGGATTGGAATACTAATTGAACATGAGAGGAAAGACTAAGTGAAAAAGATAATGCCAATGTTCTGAGCTTGTGTGATTAAAAGAGAATAATGGGATGAACAGAAATGATGAGATTAACAGGAGGTTCTGATGCAGGCAGAAAGGAAAATAACAGTAAGTGCATATTAAAATTATCACCTAGTTCAGAAATCCCAAAGCAGTCACATTGTCTTCAGTATCACAACTATTTTCCCCTATCCAGGCTTATTTTCAGAAGATGATCCATATAAGGATATTTATTTATTTCAAAAAGATGAGAGAACCTATACTCTTAGATTTGTGCACTGGAGAGAGGAAAGAGCAAATGATATCTGATCCTAGTGTTTTTCTGGGTTCTAAAGGAGGGGATTTATAGCAGATGAAGGAAATACTTTTATCTGGGGTTTTGCAAGGCTAGAAGTATATACACATAGTCATTTTGGTATGCATAATGCTTTGCAGCTTTATAGGATTTACTAGGAAAAATGCTCCCGGGGGGTGGGGGATGGAGGGGTGTCAAATGTTCCCAGTAGTGACAAGGCAGGGCACCAATAATAGCAGCAGATGCTCAAGGACAATGAATACTGAAAGAGGCACCAAGAGTGTGGACACAACCTGAACATAAGAAATATCTAGAGATTATCAGAAACAGTTGGGGGTGGAGAGAAGAGAGAGATGAAGGAGCATGAGTTGGGGAAATATTAAAATGAATGAAGGTGTAACTAATTGGTCTCATTCATACCGATAGGTCGTGCCTACACTATCTACCTGGTCCTATGCTAGGCATTGGATAAAAACATGGTTTCAGTTACCAAGGAATTCCGTTTTGTTATTAGGGCAAATGTGCAAATGCAGATAATGACAGAAACTCCTCGAACATTTTAATGTTTCAATTTTAAAATGTATTTTTTAAAAATCAGAGTTTGAAAAAGTTCATTAATTCTGTTCGGCTGGTTTCATCCAATTCCTCGTATCTCCCAATTTTATAGGAAAACTGAGGCCTATAGAGGTTAGTGATTTTTTCCAAAATCACACTGATGGCTAAAAGCACAGCAGGGAGAGAGAGGCCAAATCTCCTGATTCTCAGAATCATTCTTTCCCACTACATCACAGTATCTCATTTATAATTCAGTAAATGAAGGCCTCCTATTCTGTTTTTCTTTTCAATCACTGTTACATGAAATAAAGTGTAGTGAAAAAAGCATGGCTTCTGAAACAGACAAACCTGGGGTTTGAATTTTCTGACATATTACATTACTTCGCTTCGCATTAAGGCTGGTCCTAATAAAATTGCTAGATGTTCTAAAATAAATTATAATAAACCTATACTTAACCAAAGACTGGGCATCTGATTTTGTACTTGCTGAAAATTTATGCTCCTGTCCAAGGATTTTATAACAGATTATATGAATATTCATCAGCAAAGCGAACTGGAAAAACGGAAGATAAAAGAATAGTAGTGTTAATACTAATTGATGACTTGTTAGAAAAGACCACGGCAAATAAGCTTCAGGGTTTACTTGATAAGGGTAATAACTCCTCTAGTCAATCAAGGAGGTAATCAAAATCAAGGAAATCCAGTTTAAAAGTGTAAGTAGTTTCATGAGCTCTAATAGGGCCTTTTGGCATTCATATACAACATTTTCCACATCTCTCCTAAATAATTTTGATAAAACTGTTCCTCAAAAAGTGCCTTAAAGATGGGATCATTGTCTACACTTAAAGCATACAGATCCACTTTTCAGTTATGGTATTTTTGCGGTTGTACACAAATATTCCACTAGTTAGGCTGAAGGGGAAAAATATGCCAGTTGCACTGTTTTTCAGCCTTAAAATTCTCTCTGCATTTTTTTTTAAGATGCTGAATCAGCTTTCTGTGCCCTTAGTGCTCTCGCAAACACGGTGAATGTTCTTAAAACACACAAGACTTTCTGTAAGAAGTGTGGCAAGCTCCAACACGAGAAAGTAACACAGCATGAGAAGGGCAATGATCCCCTGAATGTGCAGGGACAGTGGCGTTGTGACAGGAAGCAGAGTGGCTATGGTGAGCAGACTAAGCCGGTTTCCTGCAAAAAGGCTAAAACTACAAAGAAGATTGTGCTGAGGCCTGAGTATGTTGAGCCCAACTGCCATCTAAGAGAATGCTGGCTATTAAGAGATGCAAGCATTTTGAACTGGGAGGAGATAAGAAAAAGAGTCCACTGATCCAGCTCTAAATTTCATATTTTATTTTATTATGTGACAATAAAATCTTGAGGATAAGAAAAATGCTGAATCATGAAATAAAGGAAACAGACATGCAAAGAACCCAAACAAGTTGCTCATCTCATATTTCAAGTTTCCTAATTACCGTATCTTGTCATTTTGGTCTTGTTAAGCTTTTGGAACCAAAAAGTAACTGAAGGGTCTTAGTAACTAGAAGTGTAGAGCTCATTCTCAGAAACTGAACGGGAGGATAAGACTGAAAGCGCTTATTTCTACAAGTTATTACACTTTCTACTTCCTGTTTTATTTAGGCAGCTCATCATGACCATTTCAGGTAACAATGCAGAAGTTAAAAAACCCAACTTCCTCTTTATAAAGTGATAAAAACTTCAGCAGTTAGTTATGAAAATGGTTGATCTTACTAGCTTTTATAGAAATACTTGCAAGGAAATCAGAGACCATCATCATGAAATTCACCTCTATGTTCACTGCTTTCAGAAAATTTAACAAAAATAAAAAACTGTACTGGCATCATGACATATATCCCTTAAAAAACAAAAAACAACCCCAAATCAAATGCAGTTGAGGTCTCCGTTAAAAACAGAAAAAATGGAAACTTTAGAATTCCTTCATGGAAGAACCAATCCAAATTAAGGCTAATAATCTTTTTAAATATTTGTTTGTAATAGTGCTGTGGTTGTGAAAATTTTATAGGATAAGAATCTCATTTAAGAGTTACTTATGTGCCCTAGCCGCTTGGCTCAGTGGATAGAGCATCAGCCTGCGGACTGGGGGGTCCCGGGTTCGATTCTGGCCAAGGGCACATGCCTGGGTTGCGGGCTCAATCCCCAGTGGGGGGTGTGCAGGAGGCAGCCGATCAATGATTCTCTCTCATCATTGATGTTTCTATCTCTCTCTCCTTCTCCCTTCCTCTCTAAAATCAATAAAGAAATATATTTAAAAAAAAAAGAGTTACTTATGTTTCTGAATCCTAAGATATTCATATCAACAAGTCTTGTTAGAAAAATACTTTCTCAATTCTTGAATTCAGTTAAAAGGATGCAGAAGCCTGGAAAAGGGGGCAAGTAGGGTATGAAGCTGAAGAGAAGTGAAGAAATCTTACAAGCCAAAGCCCTTCCTTTCTACTTATAGATCCACAACAGAGAAATACTATCAGTTTCATCTCTGTCTGTGAATAAGAATCTAACAAAATATCAGAAATCTCAAATCATATGGATTTACTGAGACACTTACTATAGCAGTTATTCTTAATTATCCACACTAATGAAGACAATGTGGTTAATTTAAAAACTGTTTACTGAACGTGAAATTCATCAGCTTTTTTGGCAGCTTTACCTTACTAATTTTGATTTCCTTACTATGTCATTATTAAAATTAAGCAACACATCAGGTATGCTGGGAGATGAAAGGAACCTCATCTATTATTGAGGTCAGATCTATTATTATAAAATCAATACTATGAATGTTATTAAACACTGACAATATTCAAAGGTATTTTTATTTGCACTTTGAAATACACATATATTTTCCAAATTTAATTAAAAAGGCATTCTAACTCAGTGTCAAAGACAAAAACCTGACAGCACTGAAAATGTAGTACTGTTTGGGCACAATAAACTTCAAACTTTACTGTTTATTGTTATTTAAATACTTAATGATATTTTGTTGTAACAATATTTTTGCTTAAAATAAGTGACCCATCAGTTGGACTAAAAAATATTTTGTTATCCTATGATTTTCACTGTATTTTACTTCATCTGAATCATAACTGTTTGCCTTAGAAAAAGCATTTATTATAGTTTTCTCTCCAGCACAAGTTCATATAAAATGCTTCCTCTCTCCCCAAACTTATATGTTTATGGGAATTTCCAAGAACGAGAAAATTGAACGCTAAAGTGCTGTTCAATGGCTTGTGAGTGTTTAGCACATTCCTCAGTATTTCAAAATGGCATGCCATATGTAGGTATACTGTGTCAAATCATTCTGTGCAGAGGACTCCTGGAGCATAAATAGTCCCCTCCACCATCCCAATCTTTTTATTGAAAAAAAAAAAAAGAGAGAGGAAGAGCTGAAATACATTTACAAAGCACTCAAGCGTGCACATTTTGCACGCCACTATAGGAAACAAAAGACATAGTTCTTGTCCTAAAGTGAGTCAACTGCCCTAGCGGGTTTGGCTCAGTGGATAGAGCTTGCAGACTGAAGGGGCGTGCGGGAGGCAACCGATCAATGATGGTCTTTCATCATTGATGTTTCTCTCTCTCTCTCCCTCTCCTTTCCTCTCTGAAATATATATATATATATACACACACACACACACACACATATATATATATACATGTGTATGTGTAGGGGGTGTATGTACACACACACACACACACACAGTAAGTTGTTAAAAAGATATAAAGTTGGTCACCTAATGAAATAATTCTAATTTCCGCAGGCCCTAAAATCTCATAGTTACCGAAAAGCCTGACAAGCTGTTAAGAAAGATGCGCAGCTGTCAGGAAAAAAAAAGTTATTCCGCCTGACAGAATATGCTCTTGCATTTAAGACACTTTTGAAGGAAGCAACACACAAATTACACACTGACAAACTCCACTGTAATCAGACATCGCAGGGGAGCATCAGAGGAGGCGCGATGCTGTTGCCCAGGCTTGAACGCGTTACCCTGAGGTTTACGTGCTCTATAAAACCTTTCTGGAGTTAAAAAAAAAAACACACACAACACCCACACAAAAACCCGTTGGCGAATCTTAATCGGTTAACAAGAAACCGAAAACCATTTTTCAACTATTATCAAGAGGCTATCAGACGTAAGGGATGGAGTCCCGGCGGGGCCCGGGGTAGACCCAGGCGATCCAGGGAGCGTCTGCAGGGAAGACGGTGCTCACATCCGGCGCCCGGAGGCTTCCACGGGGGTCACTGCGGACAGCCCAGCTCCTGGGACCCGGGGAGAGGCGGGCACCACGGAGGGACCGCTCTGTCCAGGAGTCGTGACAGCAGAATCACTTCCAGGGGAAGGAGGGGCGGAAGGGAAGTGAAGGGGCCACCAGACCAGGAAGTGACCCGCCCTAAACTAGCCTCAATCCTGGCTAACGAGGAGGGTGGGGTAGGGTGGGGTGGGGTGGGGTGGGGGTGGGGGTGGGGGGACGGGCTGAGCCCCAACAGCTCAAGGCGGTACAACTGCTGCTTCATAGGTCGCGACATCACCATCGTCCCCTCTCTCAATTACAGAGGCGAGTCCGCAGCCACGACTCCATAAGGGAAAAGTCTCTTTTCTGGCTGCAAGGCCAGCGGGCTGTGCCGCAGGCCCGGGAGGAAGAGAGTTGAGAAATGGGGAACTGGGGCCACGGGGCGCCAGGGGGAAGACCCTCGGGAGGAAAGCGTCCCGAGCGCGGGAGGCGGACGCCTGCAGGGCTGAGCGGCTTCTTTCTCCCGGGGGGCCCTTCAGGGCTTCCCACGGCGGCCGGGCGGGGCCCCTCACCCCTGGCGCGGGAGGAGGTGAGAGAGAGAGGCGCGCCCCTTACCTTCTCCTCATCCGACACCCGATCCTCGAAGTCGGCCATCTTGGGCTGCTCTGGCCCAGCCCGGCCGGGCGCGAGGCAGGCCGGGAAGGAAGCTGAGTGACGGCATCGCCGCGGGGGCCGGCGGAAGGGCCCACCCGGAAACGCGGGCCGGGAGGGCACCCAGTCAGTGACGGGCGCCGGGGCGGGGCGGGAACGGCTCGGAGCGCCCGCGCCGGGAAGTCAGTCGCCTTTGCCTGAAGTGATTTTAAGTCTAATGCCGTCCTCACTGAGTTACATTCACTTCCCCTCTCATCTGCGGGACGCGGGGAGCGGGTCTCGACTGTTCTTGGCGCCCGAGCCCCATCCGACCAAACAGCACTTGCTACTCCTCTAAGTTTTCCCCGTCCAAGGGGCTAAGTGCTGCTCGGTCCCTGTTGGGCCGGTGGCTTCTCAAAGCCCAGGAAATGGGGGCGAAGGGTGACCCTCACTCGCATGGAAGCGAAATCACTTCACTCCGGGGTCACATCCCAGCCCAGTTTCTCCGGAGGAGGTGCCGCTATCCGCCCCGGGCCGCCCTCGGAAGGAGCAGGTAGCCCCCGCCCAGGGACGCTCCTTCACCTTCCAAACCTCGGTCCCGGACCCCCGAGGCGCTCGGCCTTCCCAGCGGCCAGCCTCAGGCCCGCCACTATCCCAGGATTCCCGGCGCCCGGCTTCCTGCCCGGCTTCCCTCCCAGCGCCGGCGCCCGGGGAGCGCCAAGATGGCGGACGGCGACGGGCCCGGTGTTGCGGCGGCGGCCGCGGCCTCTCCTCAGGCACCCGCTGCTGGCCCAAGCCCGCCGCCGGGCTGGAGGGAGCGGCTGCGGGCCGGGCTGGTGGGGACGTGGGCCTCGCTGTGGTTCGTGGTGGGGCTGGGGCTGCTTTACGCTCTGAGGGTCCCGCTGAGGCTGTGTGAGAATGTGGCCGCGGGTGAGAAGCCCAGACTTCCGGGGGTTGGGTTGGGGCGGGGGGGGT